TTAGACCTTAAATTTAGAAGTGGGAAATCCAGCCTGAGCAACATAACAAGACCTCATCTCTTCAAAAAAATTTTTTAATTAACCTAGTGTAGGCCAGGCACAGTTGCTCATGCCTTTTATCCCAGCACTTTGGGAGGCTGAGGTGGGTGGATCACTTGAGCTCAAAAGTTTGAGATCAGCCTGGGCAACAGGCTGGTTGCAGTGATCTCAGCTGAGTGAGCCGAGATCACTGCAACCTCCACCTCCCAGGTTCAAGTGATTCTCCTGCCTCAGCCTCCTGAATAGCTGGGACTACAGGCATGTACCACCATGCCTGGCTAATTTTTTGTATTTTTAGTAGGGACGAAGTTTCACCATGTTAGCCAGGATGGTCTTGATCTTCTGACCTCATGATCCGCCTGCCTCGGCCTCCCAAAGTGCTGGGATTACAGGCATGACCCACCATACCTGGCCCTCTGTGGTCTTTTCTGTTTTTTTTGTTTTTTGTTTTTTTCCCCAGCATATTTCTTGATAATTTCCTGGTATGACCTGCTCTGTCTACCTGCCCCATTCATCAGACATGATCTTTTTTTTTTTTTCCCCAAAATGGAGTTTCGCTCTTATTACCCAGGCTGGAGTGCAATGGCGCGATCTCGGCTCACCGCAACCTCCACCTCCTGGGTTCAGGCAATTCTCCTGCCTCAGCCTCCTGAGTAGCTGGGATTACAGGCACGTGCCACCATGCCCAGCTAAATTATTTTGTATTTTTAATAGAGACAGGGTTTCACCATGTTGACCAGGATGGTCTCGATCTCTTGACCTCGTGATCCACCCACCTTGGCCTCCCAGAGTGCTGGGATTACAGGCGTGAGTCACCGCACCCAGCAGACATGATCTTTATTCTCACATGCTTTGATTATTGAGGGATCACAGTGTAGACCCAGAGTCTATGATCAGCCACCCTGGGCTTCTCTCCCCTAGTCACTTCCCTGTTGAAGCCCTGTGTCCTCTGCATTCTTCCTTCCAGTCAAGAACCCTATCGAGGCAAGTGTCTTGCTGGCTGAAGCCTCGCTGGCACGGAAGCAGCGGAAAACACATACTACCTTTATTCCACTGATGCTGAATGAGATGCCACAGATTGGGGACCTGGTGGGTTTGGATGCTGAGTTTGTCACCCTTAATGAGGTAACCAAGACCAAAAGGGTGGGGCACTGGAAGAGAACTCTGAGGATATTAGGAGTTGTAAGCATTTCTCTGATTTTCTTATTAATTCTTCTCATGTAGGAGGAAGCAGAGTTACGCAGTGATGGTACCAAGTCCACCATTAAACCAAGCCAGATGTCAGTAGCCAGGATTACCTGTGTTCGGGGCCAGGGACCCAATGAGGGTATTCCCTTCATTGATGACTACATCTCTACCCAGGAGCAGGTATTAGGTTATGGAGATGCAAGTGAGGCATACCTTGGTGCTTATGTACAGTGCTCAAGAACCCAGGGAAGAGTGGTAGGGGAAACCTCCGCCTCACTTCCTGAAAAAGACTTGTCCTTTTCTCTATTCCTAGGTGGTGGATTACTTGACTCAATACTCGGGTATAAAGCCTGGTGATCTTGATGCCAAAATCTCCTCCAAGCACCTAACAACTCTCAAGTCTACCTACTTAAAGCTTCGTTTTCTCATTGACATCGGAGTCAAGTTTGTGGGTCATGGCCTGCAGAAGGACTTCCGGGTCATCAACCTGATGGTTTGGCAGGGCTCTTTTAAGAGTCTTCTTTTGAGGGTGGGCCCCTCAGGGTATACATTGTGCCTTTAGAAAATGGGGAATTATAGATCCCCTACCTTAAGTCTCTTCCTCTTTTATCCTTGCCAGGTGCCCAAGGACCAAGTCCTTGATACTGTCTACCTATTCCATATGCCTCGAAAACGAATGATATCCCTGCGATTCCTTGCTTGGTACTTTCTGGGTGAGTTGCTCTGCCTTGTAGGCCCCTGTGGTGCACATTAAGAACAGAAGCAGCCATTTAGAAGACAAAAAAAGGCCGGGCGCGGTGGCTCAAGCCTGTAATCCCAGCACTTTGGGAGGCCGAGGCGGGTGGATCACGAGGTCGAGAGATCGAGACCATCCTGGTCAACATAGTGAAACCCCGTCTCTACTAAAAATACAAAAAACTAGCTGGGCATGGTGGCGCATGCCTGTAATCCCAGCTACTCAGGAGGCTGAGGCAGGAGAATTGCCTGAACCCAGGAGACGGAGGTTGCGGTGAGCCGAGATCGCGCCATTGCACTCCAGCCTGGGTAACAAGAGCGAAACTCCGTCTCAAAAAAAAAAAAAAAAAAAAAAGACAAAAAAAAAAAAAATAAGAAATAATGTCCTTTGCAGCAACATGGATGAAGCTGTCGGCCATCATATTAAGTGAACTAACTCAAACAAAAAATCAAATAACACATATTCTCACTTATAAGTTGGAACTAAACCATGAGTACATACAAACATAAGTATGGAAATAATAGACACTGGGCCTCTAAAAGGGGGGAATGATGGGGGAGGAGGGACAGTTGAAAAATTATTTATTGGGCACAAAGTTTACTATTTGCATATTAGGTATACTAGAAACCCAATCCTCACCAGTACACGATAAACCCATGTTATGAACATGCACATGTACCCCAAATCTGAAAAAAAAAGCATGGCGGTTGGCTGGGGGAAAGACAAAGCAGGAACAGTGTTAGAGGATAAAGTGGGAGTAAGGGGGACTCTCAGTTAGTGGTGACAATTACTCATGAATTTAATTAACTTCAGTATCCCTTCTGTGCACTGAGGAAGGTGTTTGAGTTTCCCTTAAGGGCAGTCAGGCTTTTTAGTTTTCTGGAGTCAGCTGGGAGTGGGGAGACATGTTCCTCCTTCCCTTTGCTGGGTCCCAAACTATTGCACCTTTACTTACCCCAGACCTGAAGATTCAAGGGGAAACCCATGACAGTATTGAGGATGCGCGCACAGCCCTTCAGCTCTACCGAAAGTATCTGGAGCTAAGCAAAAATGGCACTGAGCCTGAGTCTTTCCACAAGGTGCTCAAGGGTCTTTATGAGAAAGGCCGAAAGATGGACTGGAAGGTGCCAGAGCCTGAGGGCCAAACAAGTCCCAAGAGTAAGACCTGGGATGGGACAAGGGAAACTGAACTGGGTGGATTTTGTATTTTGTTTGCTTGTTTGTTTGAGACAGGGTCTCACTCTGTCGCCAGGCTGAAGTGCAGTAGCATTAAGTACAGCTCACTGCAGCCTAGACCTTTCGGGCTCAAGTGATTGACCCACCTCAGCCTCCTAAATAATTAGGACAACAGGCGCACACCACCACACCCAGCTAATTTTTGTACTTCTTGTAAAGACAGGGTTTTATCATGTTGTCCAGGCTGGTCTTGAACTCCTGGGCTCAAGCAATCCATCCACCCTGGGCTCACAAAGTGTTGGGATCACAGGCATGAGCCTGGCGCCCCCAGTTGGGTGGATTTTGATTGCATATATGGAGAACAGCACTTAACAGTTTACAAAGCACTTTATCCTCCTAACAGTCAGTGAAATAGATTTTATAGAAACTTTCCATTAACTATAATGTCCTCTTGCCCAAGTCTAAAATGTTCAGGGAAGGTCCGTGCCCTTTTTTCCCTTGCATTTTTCCTTCATAGGAAGTCTGAGAAAATGCTTTTTCTCCATCAGCTTGAATGATGCTTTTGGTTTTGTCTCTGACAGATGCAGCTGTCTTCTCCTCAGTGTTGGCGCTCTGACCTACCCTTCCCAAAGAACTGCTGCCCTCTCCCTTTACTGTTCTATCGTCCCAGAACTGGGAGATGGCTTCTTAAGTTGGCTATACCTTGTCCACTTCCAGAATTGGACGTGCTCAGGGTCTACAGATGGTGCTATTAATAGAACTGGAATACAGCAGAATTGTCGCAAAGGTTCTAGGAGCCAGATTCATTCCTTCTTCATCCTTTGCAAAACAATGGTACAGAAACAGAGTCTAGAATTGACCCAGATGGAAAGTAATTGGTGTTCTTAATATCCTGAGTGACTAATATCCAGGCAAAGAAGCTCCTGGAACCAAAACTGTCAGTTCCTAGCTGGCTAGGAATTGAAGTCCTGAACAATGACAGAGGATACCACTGTAGTTCCAGACTTAGCACAAGTCATCAACTGCTTCAGGGATGCCTGGAGGTGGCGCCAGCCTGTAGAGTGTTGGTGGCCCAAGCAAATTAGTGTTGCCAATACCATTGCCAAAAGGGCCTTTGGGCCTTTGGATCCTGAACAAAGCTTGGCTGCTGGCTTCATTTTTTCCTGCTGACAGTTGAGAAGCATCTGTCTTCCATCCCACTCTCCTGTCCCAAGTTTTGTTCCATTTTTTAAAAATTTGTTGTAAACTGCATGTTTTATAAAATAAAAACAAAATATTATCTTTTGTCATTTATCTCATTAGAGAACTGCTAGTGTTCTCTGGCTTCAGCCTTCCTCTCCTTTGTATGAAGGTAAAGGATTGGAATCCAAAGTTACGGATGTGGGCAAGGGTATAATTATTCCTTTTGTGGACAATGCTGGGTCTTTGCTAGTAGCTGCCCAGTACCCTAAGGCAGACTGTTTGAAGATGGACAGTACAGGTATTGATCGACTTACGACCTATGCAACTATGGCCATTCGACTTTACGACCACAATCGCCAGCCACTACTGCTACGCGTCTGGCAGCGCAAACGTTGCCCAGCTGGGCCTACGACAGTGCGGACCAGCTTCTGGCAGCACTACCATCTCTGCGTGCACCACTTCAACTGTACATACAGCCTACTCGACTTACGATGAAATCGTGTTACCACCGTTCCGCGGTCCCGACCATGGTCATAAGTTGAGCACTGCCTGGTATGGTTACCCCGTTAATTGTGTAAGCCGCCAAACTACAGGTCCCAGGATAGTTTGAGACCTGTAGTTGCTCACAAATATCAGTCTGGTGCTGCGGTGCTTCCTGGGAGATGTAGTTTCCTGTGTATTGAAACCTGGGCGGCTAGCTGGCCTGCAGCACACCGTTTTGAAGGTCCTAGCCCACCTGGGCTGGCTTAAGCACATGCCTGGCCGCTCCCACTCAGCACCCTGGGGCTCTGTCTTTGCTTCAGGCCACTCCTGTTCTCCGGCTGACCCCTGGTGGTCACGTGGAGCTGTTCGCCACGCAAGTCTGGGTCCTTCGGAGATGGTCCGGGGTCCTTGCTGTCCGGGAGCCGCTCTTAAGCTGCCTGTTCGCGCGAGAGTTTGGAGGGGCGGGTTTGGGGTCGGGGTCTGATTGGGGCTCTCACCGCAGCACACCCGAGACCCGCTTAGATACCGGTTAGCGCCTGGGGAGCTGGGTCAGGCAGTCGCCAGGACACCCTGTGTGTGGCAAGCGGCGAAGCGCTCTGGAGAATCCCGGACAGCCCTGGTCCGCGCAGCCAGGTGTAGTTTCGGGAGCCACTGGGGCCAAAGTGAGAGTCCAGCGGTCTTCCAGCGCCTGGGCCACGGCGGCGGCCCTGGGAGCAGAGGTGGGATGGACGCGGGCGGCAAGGCGCTGGGCGCTGAGGGTTGGGGATGGACGGGAGCGAAAGAAATGGCGGAGTTCTCAGAAAGGGGGCTGGTCCTGACTGGTAATCACTTACGGGCTGGAGGTGGGGATGCAGGAATCTTCGGTACAGAATCCAAATGGGCCCTAGTTATTGAATGCTCTCCTCGCTGGCCTCCTGGCCTGACTGAGGGCTCCCTGCCGGCAGTTCCCCGGTGCCTCAGTCCTCGCGTAATCGCCAGCTTACCTCCTGTAGCTGCCACAAAGCCCCGTGAGCCCTAGGCATGCAGTGCTGAAGTACCAACACTTAGGGCCTTACCTATCCATGTAGTGTCTGGGGCTGAGCCCCAAGTCCTGAGCTCACGCTCCCACCCACCGCTCTGGGGGAATCGGAGCCTTCAAGCGCTGGAACAGAGAAGCCCCTTTGTGTCCCGGCCATTTTCTGGAAAGTAGAGCCAGAGTCACCGTGAGGCCTTTGAAAGCCTTGGGGTGAGGAGTGGGGGGGCAGGGAAAAATGGAGTTGGCTTCTCACATTTATGTTTCATGACCTCTCAAACCCAGGTGGAGCGACCCCATTACAAGAAAGATGAAAGGCTGGGGTTGGCTGGCCCTGCTTCTGGGGGCCTTGCTGGGAACTGCCTGGGCTCGGAGGAGCCAGGATCTCCACTGTGGAGGTAAAGCACAAAGGGAAAAAGAAGTGAAGGAAGGCCGGGCGCGGTGGCTCAAGCCTGTAATCCCAGCACTTTGGGAGGCCGAGGCGGGCGGATCACGAGGTCAAGAGATCGAGACCATCCTGGTCAACATGGTGAAACCCCGTCTCTACTAAAAATACAAAAGTTAGCTGGGCGTGGTGGCGCGTGCCTGTAATCCCAGCTACTCAGGAGGCTGAGGTAGGAGAATTGCCTGAACCCAGGGGGCGGAGGTTGCGGTGAGCCGAGATCGCGCCATTGCACTCCAGCCTGGGTAACAAGAGCGAAACTCCGTCTGAGAAAAAAAAAAAAAAAAAAGAAGTGAAGGAAGTAGAGCCTTGGGAGGGCATGAGATCCAAGGACTGGGAAAAGGATGAATGGAAATCCTGCGTTGATCCCATTCTCCTCCCACCCTACCCGCTTCCCTATCCCTTGCTTCCCATTCTCTCCTGTTCTGCCAGCGTGCAGGGCTCTGGTGGATGAACTAGAATGGGAAATTGCCAAGGTGGACCCCAAGAAAACTATTCAGATGGGATCTTTCCGGATCAATCCAGATGGCAGCCAGTCAGTGGTGGAGGTAACTGTTACTGTTCCCCCAAATAAAGTAGCTTACTCTGGCTTTGGATGAGAATTCAACTGCTTAAGGACCTTGGTTTAATAGAAATGAAGAAAACAGACCCAGAGAGATAAAGATTTGGCTCTGTCTCATTTAGAAGCTGCAGTGTTCTACCCCATGCACTTGCTTCCTGGCTCTAAACCTTAATACTTTGTTTCTACTGTAGAATTTGTTAGCAAACAGGGAGTCCTGATCACTCCCCTTCTCTACATGCACATGACTCATGTTTTTAATGTAGCACTGTGGTATACATACAAACATCTGTTCAAAAAAGAATAAAAATAGAGATCTGAGTCAGAGCTAAAAATAAGAAATGAAAAAAAGAATAAAAGGTTTTGTCCTCATAATTAGGAAATTTATTTTAGTCAAAAACAACACACGTACACAAAGCTGTCTCTAATAGTCAATATATAAGGCAATGTTAAGATTACGGTGCTAGCCTGGGAATCATGCCAAAACCCCATCTCTGCAAAAAAAATGCAAAAGTTTGTGGGGCATAGTGGCATGTTCCTGTAGTAACAGCTACTTGGAAGCCTGAGGTAGATGGATCAGTTGATCTCAGGAGGTCAAGGCTGCAGTAAGCCATGATGCTGTCTCAAAAAAAAAAAAAAAAAACAGGTCGGGCATGGTGACTCACGCCTGTAATCCCAGCACTTTGGGAGGCCGAAGCGGGCAGATCACCTGAGGTCAGGAGTTTGAGACCAGCCTGACCAACGTGGAAAAACCCTGTCTCTACTAAAAATACAAAAAAAAATTAGCTGGGTATGGTGGTGCATGCCTGTAATCCCAGCTACTCAGGAGGCTGAGGCAGGAGAATTGCTTGAACCCGGGAGGCAGAGGTTGCAGTGATCTGAGATTGCGCCATTGCACTCCAGCCTGGGCAACAAAAGTGAGGCTCTGTCTCAAAAAAAAAAAAAGACCTAGCACTTTTGGAGGCCAAGGTGTGCGGATCACCTGTGGTCAGAAGTTCAAGACCAGCCTGGCCAACATAGTGAAACTCCATCTCCTAAAAATACAAAAAATTAGCGAGGCACAGTTGTGCACTCCTATGTCCCAGCTACTTGGGAGGCTGAGGCAGGAGAATTGCTTGAACCCAGGAGGCAGAGGTTGCAGTGAGCGGAGATTGTACCGCTACACTCCAGTCTGGTTGATAAGAGCAAAACTGTCTCAAAAAAAAAAAAGGTTATAGTGCTTTAATAGCTGTTGTCCACAGAGCCTACACTACCTCTTTAATACTGTGCTTACTGAGGATATTGGTGTGAATTTTTTAAAAAAATTATTATTAATGGGAACACATAGACACAGGGAGGGGAATGTCAGACATCAGGGTCTGCTAGTGGGTGGGTCTAGGGGAGGGATAGTATTAGGAGAAATACCTAATGTAGATGACAGGTTGATGGGTGCAGCAAACCACCGTGGCATGTGTATACCTATGTAACAAACCTGCATGTTCTGCACATGTATCCCAGAACTTAAAATAAAATTATTATCTTAATCTATAGGAATTATAAGTTGATCAGGGTTAATCAAAGAATTCTGTTTATAACTTGGATCTAATGATAACTGTCTTGTTTCTTAGAGCTGTACAATGAGGTAAAATAAAATCATATATTTGAAACTACTACCAAGTATGGTGGCTTATGCCTGTAATCCCAGTACTTTGGGAGGCTGAGTCAGGGAGATCACTTGAGCCCAGGAGTTCAAGCCTGGGCAACATGGCAAGACCTTGTCTCTAAACAAAAAATTAGCCAGGTGTGGTGGTGTGCAGCTGTGGTCCCATCAGCTCTGGAGGCTGAGGTGGGAGGATCACCTGAGCCTGAGAAATCCAAGCTGTGGTGAACCTCAATCATCACACCACTGTACTCCAGCCTGGGCAGCGGAGTGAGGTCTGTTTCAAAAAAAGAAAAAAGAAAGTACTTTGAAACTATACAAATATACCATACTAATTAAAAAGCAAACTAGGCTGGGCACAGCGGCCCGCGCCTGTAATACCAGTACTTTGAGAGGCTGTGGTGGGTGGATCACCTGAGGTCAGGAGTTTGAGACCAGCCTGCCCAACATAGTGAAACCCCATCTCTACTAAAAATACAAAAATTAGATGAGTGTGTTGGCACATGCCTGTAATCCCTACTACTTGGGAGGCTGATGCAGGAGAATGGCTTCAACCTGAGAAGTGGAGGCTGTGGTGAGCAGAAATCAGGCCATTGCACTCCAGCCTGAGCAACAAGGGTGAAACTTCATCTAAAAAAAAAAACACGGCCGGGCGCGGTGGCTCAAGCCTGTAATCCCAGCACTTTGGGAGGCTGAGACTGGTGGATCATGAGGTCAAGAGATCGAGACCATCCTGGTCAACATGGTGAAACCCCGTCTCTACTAAAAATATGAAAAATTAGCTGGGCGTTGTGGCGCGTGCCTGTAATTCCAGCTACTCAGGAGGCTGAGGCAGGAGGATTGCCTGAACCCAGGAGGCGGAGGTTGCGGTGAGCCGAGATCGCACCATTGCACTCCAGCCTGGGTAACAAGAGCGAAACTCTGTCTCAAACACACACACACACACACTCTCTCTCTCTCTCTCTCTCTCTAATTAGAAATTAAAATCAGAGAAAGAATTTTTTTTTTGAGACGGATTCTCACTCTGTCACCCAGGCTCGAGTGCAGTGGCGCGATCTCAGCTCACTGCAACCTTTGCCTCTTGGGTTCAAGTGATTCTCCTGCCTCAGCCTCCCAAGTGGCTGGGCCTACAGGCACATTTTACCACGTCCTGCTTTTTTTTTTTTTTTGAGACGGAGTTTCGCTCTTGTTACCCAGGCTGGAGTGCAATGGCGCGATCTCGGCTCACCACAACCTCCGCCTCCTGGGTTCAAGCAATTCTCCTGCTTCAGCCTCCTGAGTAGCTGGGATTACAGGCACGCGCCACCATGCCCAGCTAATTTTTGTATTTTTAGTAGAGACGGGGTTTCACCATGTTGACCAGGATGGTCTCAATCTCTTGACCTCGTGATCCACTCGCCTTGGCCTCCCAAAGTGCTGGGATTACAGGCTTGAGCCACCGCACCCGGCCCTTTTTTTTTTTTTTTTTTTTTTTGTATTTTTAGTAGGGATAGGGCTTCACCATATTGGCCAGGCTGGTCTCGAACTCCTGACCTCCTAATCTGCCTGCCTCAGCCTCCCAAAGTGCTGGAATTACAGGTGTGAGCCACCGTGCCTGGCCAGGGAAAGCTTTTTAGAATAGGTTGTTGGAGCTATATTTGGAAGGAAAAATAAGGATATAAATTACTAATGTACAGAGGTAGAAGAGAGTGACCCAAGGCTGAGGACATTTCTAGGTGCCTTATGCCCGCTCAGAGGCCCACCTCACAGAGCTGCTGGAGGAGATATGTGACCGGATGAAGGAGTATGGGGAACAGATTGATCCTTCCACCCATCGCAAGAACTATGTACGTGTAGTGAGCCGGAATGGAGAATCCAGTGAACTGGACCTACAAGGCATCCGAATTGACTCCGATATCAGTGGTACCCTCAAGTTTGCGGTGAGCTATGGGAATCGGCAGCTGGTTCTTGGAATTAGGGGGTTGTTGGAGGACCAAGTAGAAAGTTAGACCAATACCCTGTCCTCCTCTTTGGAGGTAAAGGCAAGAGGCTTCTTACTATCCTGTGTCACCCCTTTCTCCCTTGGGTTGGCAGTGTGAGAGCATTGTGGAGGAATACGAGGATGAACTCATTGAATTCTTTTCCCGAGAGGCTGACAATGTTAAAGACAAACTTTGCAGTAAGCGAACAGGTAAGCTGCCCCACTTTAACTCCTGTTCTAGTAGCTGTGGAACCTGACATTCCCTAACTCACCCACACACACCCCCATCCCAGAAACCTGGTATTAGCTCAAGAGCTGGCTTCCATTTCCCTTGGCTTAGGGACTTGGGGTGTCCCTATTTTCTGTCAGCTTTCAGAATTTGTGGCCCCTTGACCCTGAGATACAGGTGAGAGGGCAGTGGGGATGTTTTATCATTTATAAGCATATTTTCTGAAGAGTGGTAGTTGATGTGTGTTTGTGAGTTTGGTCTGGGAAATTTTCTTGATAATGGCATATATCAGTATGAGAGTGGCATTTTCCTTTAAGTTTCTCATACTGAGTGGCATTTTCCTTTAAATTGTTATGTGCTATTTGCAGATCTTTGTGACCATGCCCTGCACATATCGCATGATGAGCTATGAATCACACTGGAGCAGCCCACACTGGCTTGATGGATCACCCCCAGGAGGGGAACATGGTGGCAATGCCTTTTATATATTATGTTTTTACTGAAACGAACTGAAAAAATAAGAAACCAAAAGTACAAACTGTGTTGTCTTTTCATGCCCGGAGTTGGCCCTTACATTAAGCTTGAAGATAGAGGGTTATAGGCAGGAAAGAAAATGGTGGAGAAAGAAGAGTTTTGGGATTGATACAGGATAAAGGTAGGAGGGCCCTGAACCTTTAATTCTTCTGCCTTCTGAGACCTCACTCCACTCATAAACTAGATAAGCTTTCAGTCATTGCCCACTCAGTACCATGACTAATTGTGAAGAGAGGAACCTCCAGGAGGAAGCAGGGGAACCTAAGTGTATGGTAGTGTAGAATTCTAGAAATTCCTTGTGTTCATGCTGTTGAAACATAAAATAAGACAGGGCTTGGTCTTGAAGGAAATAATGGACATGCATTATTCTTCCTTCCTTGCCCATCCAGATGGAGGGACCAGCAAGAACAGAGACAGGAAGGGGAAAATGGATGTGACCAACTCAGCTGAAAAGTAAGGGCTTTATCGGATAGGGACAGATGAGGTAAGGAACGTTGTTTAATGAGAGGCCTTGCTTGCTAGCCTAAGCTTTTAAATTTGATGCCAGTAGCAACAATAAAGTGTATCTTTCTTACCTCTATCACTAGCCATTGTCAATCTGGACTATAAGTCTGTCCACACTTTCTGTGTGTAGAGATTCTAGACTGGGGCATAGGGATGAAAACCTGAAGGATACTTTCTTTTGGAAAATTCTTAAACACCCTGATCCTGAGGTATGGTTGTCTCAGGGTTTCAAATGAAATATCTCTGGTCCCAGGAACACCTCAAGGAGAGAAGACCTGAATAAACATTTTAAAGGTTTTAAAAATTACAGTATTTTAGAATCTAAAGGAACCTTAGAGGTCGTCTGGTTCACCTCTGCCCATTTTATAGATAAAGAAGCTGAGACGCAGAGAAGCCATAGAACTTTATGAAGTTCTATATTTAATGAAAACTTGGTCTATAAGCTAACTTTCCCAAGTGCCGATCTGATCTGATAAAGCTATAGAGTAGCTTCTATTTTAAGACTTTTTTTCTTTAATTATACTTTGCACTAAGCTTGGCACATAGAATGTAATATTCCACAAAGCTTTCTTATACTGAAAATCCCTAAAAAGTCTGACACATTAGATCTCAGAGCAAACACTCTGATATTTGTTGTCAACTAATATCGGCCTGGTGTTAATTCCGTCTTCTCCCATCAGCCATAAGAAATGCTGTATTCTCTCTTAGTTTTCCAAACCAACTATTATAAAGGTTATTTTTTTCTTCTATGATGCACATGAGTAATAATTACATTTTTTCATACCCCTGAAAGTATACCCAAGGTTCTATCCATTGCCTGCTTGGTGCCTAAAAATGCCTTTCTCTTGCATCCGAAAGCTTATCAGAAATATAAATAAGAGTACTCCTCAGGCCAGGTGTGGTGGCTCACCCCCATAATCCCTGCACTTTTGGCAGGCAAAGGTGGGATGATCACTTGAATCCAGGAGTTTGAGACCAGCCTAGGCAATATGATGAGACCCCCCCAATCTCTACAAAACATACAAAAATTAGCTGGCATATAATGGTGCACACCTGTGACTCTGGAGGCTGAGGTGGCAAGATCTCTTGAACCCAGGAGGCTAAGGCTGCACTGAGCTGTGACTGAACTGCTGCACTCTAGCCTAGGCAACAGAGTGAGACCCTGTCTCAAATAAAATAGAGTACTCTTCTGGAAACTTAAAGCTGTTTTAATTTACAAAACAAATTATTCATAGTTTTAAATACATCAATTTGGCCAGGCACGATGGCTCACACCTGTAATCCCAGCACTTTGGGAGGCAGAGGCGGGCAGATCACAAGATCAGGAGTTAGAGACCATTCTGGCTAACACAGTGAAACCCCATCTTGACTAAAAATACAAAAAATTAGCTACGCATGGTGGTACGCGCCTGTAAGCCCAGCTACTCAGAAGGCTGAGGCAGAAGAATTGTTTGAACCCAGGAGGCAGAGGTTGCAGTAAGCTGAGATCGAGCCACTGCACTCTAGCCTGGGCAACGGAGCAAAACCCCATCTCAAAAAAATAGAAAAATAAAATAAATTTAATGTTAATCAGTAACGAGTTACTTGTAATATATCTTACCGGCTTGTCAAGGTACAGCATTAAGAACTCTCCAGCTGGGCGCGGTGGCTCAAGCCTGTAATCCCAGCACTTTGGGAGGCCGAGGCGGGTGGATCACGAGGTCGAGAGATCGCAGACCATCCTGGTCAACATGGTGAAACCCCGTCTCTACTAAAAATACACACAAAAAAAAAACTAGCTGGGCGTGGTGGCGTGTGCCTGTAATCCCAGCTACTTAGGAGGCTGAGGCAGGAGAATTGCCTGAGCCCAGGAGGCGGAGGTTGCGGTGAGCCGAGACCGCGCCATTGCACTCCAGCCTGGGTAACAAGAGCGAAACTCCGTCTCAAAAAAAAAAAAAAAAAGAACTCTCCAGCTGGAGAGACTTTGTCATTGATACACAAGGATATGTCCTATATAGGAAAGAGTGAATGTTACCCTCTAGGCTTGATTAAGGATACACTTTGTGGGGTTCTTTTGTTTTTGTTTTTTGTTTTCCTAAGGCAGAGTCTCGCTCTGTCACCCAGGCTAAAGTGGAGTGGCACAATCTTGGCTCACTCAACCTCCACCTCCCAGGAAGCAATTGAAGAATTGAAGCAATTCTCCTTCCTCAGCCTCCCGAGTAGCTGAGATTACAGCCATTCGCCACCATGCCTGGCTAACTTTTGAGTTTTTTTGCAGAGGCAGTGTTTCACCATGTTGGCCAGGCTGGTCTCAAATTCCTGGCCCCAAGTGATCCACCTGCCTCAGCCTCCCAAAGTGCTGGGATTACAGGTATGAGCCACCATGCCCAACAGGAAGATGCACTTTGCAAACCTCTTATTTTATTACAATTAGTATTATTATCTTATAGAGACAGGGGTCTTGCTCTGTTGCCCGGCTGGCGTGAAATGGCATGATCATAACTCATTGCAGCCTCAAACTCCTGGCCTCAAACAATCCTACCTTGGCCTCCTGAGTTTCTAAGATTACAGGCAAGCATCACCATGCACAACTTTGCACATGTTTTAATTCATACCACAAGGAATCCATGAATGTATCTGAATCCTCTGGAGGTTTATTGTAATAAATTGTTATAGCCCAGTATTTGGTAGAGCATATACTCTTAACCTGGTAAATCTTACTAAACTTTAAGCTTCAGATGCCTACTAAATTAGTTTATCAGTAAAATGTTAGAACTTAAGTATTTCCAAAAACAGTGTTAAATGAGGTACAGATATAACAGGAAAGTTTATTATGCAAAAATCTAGTCCTTAGAAATAAGTTTTAGGGTTCAGGTGTGGTGGCTCTCACCTGTAATCCCAGCACTTTGGGAGGCCGACGTGGGCAGATCACAAGGTCAGGAGATAGAGACCAGCCTGGCCAATATGGTGAAACCCCATCGCTACTACAAAACGCCAGTGTCATGGTGCGTGCCTGTAGTCCCAGCTACTCGGGAGGCTGAGGCAGGAGAATGGTTTGAACTGGGAGGCAGAGGTTGCAGTGAGCCGAGATAGTGCCGCTGCACTCCAGCCTGGTGACAGAGCAAGACTCCCTCTCAAAAAATAAATAAGTTTTAGGGCTGGGCGAGGTGGCTGATGCATGTAATCCTTGCCCTTGGGGAGGCCGAGGTGGGCAGATCAGTTGAGGCCAGGAGTTCAAGGCCAGCCTGGCCAACATGGCAAAAACCCATCTCTACCAAAAATAGAAAAATTAGCCAGACGTCGCCGGGCGCGGTGGCTCAAGCCTGTAATCCCAGCACTTTGGGAGGCCGAGGCGGGTGGATCACGAGGTCAAGAGATCGAGACCATCCTGGTCAACATGGTGAAACCCCGTCTCTACTAAAAAAATACTAAAAAAAACATTAGCTGGGCATGGTGGCGTGTGCCTGTAATCCCAGCTACTCAGGAGGCTGAGGCAGGAGAATTGCCTGAACCCAGGAGGCGGAGGTTGCGGTGAGCCGAGATCGCGCCATTGCACTCCAGCCTGGGCAACAAGAGCGAAACTCCGTCTCAAAAAAAAAAAGAAAAAAGAAAAATTAGCCAGACGTGGTGGCACTCCCCTGTAGTCCCAGCTACTTGGGAGGCTGAGGCAGGACAATTGCTTGAACTCGGTGGCAGTGAGCCAAGATCATGCCACTGGATGACAGGGCAAGACTCTGTCTCAAAAAAAAAATGCAGTGGCATGATCTTGGCTCACTGCAACCTCTATCTTCCAGATTCAGTGATTCTCCTGCCTCAGCCTCCCAAGTAGCTGGGACTACATGAGCCCACCACCACATCTGGCTAATTATATTTTTAGTAAAGGCAGGGTTTCACCATGTTGGCCAGACTGGTCTCAAACTTCTGACCTGAAATGATCCACCGACCTCGGCATCCCAAAGTGCTGGGATTACAGCATGAGCCACTGTGCCTGGCCAAAAAAGAAAGTTTTATAGGATTTTTTAACTCTTAAGAAGGATTCATAGGTACAATATTCCTTTAAATATAGAATAGCGGCCAGGTGTGGTGGTTCAAGCCTGTAATCCCAGCAGTTTCGGAGGCCGAGGCAGTGGATCATTTGAGCTCAGGAGTTCGAGACCAGCCTGCGTAACATGGTAAAACCCCATCTCTACAAAAAATAGAAAAATTAACCAGGTGGGGCATGCCTGTAGTCCCAGCCACTCGGGAGGCTGAGATGGGAGGGCAGCTTGGGCCTAGGAGGCTGCTGTGAGCTGAGATCATGCCACTGTACTCTAGCCTCGGTGACAGAGCCAGACCCTGTCATAAATAAATAGGAATGAATAGCATGGGGAAGAGAAATACTGTGTGTTGAATACTCGTATAACAAGCACATACACATTCTCATTTAATCTTTTTTTTTTTTTTTTGACACAGGGTTCTGCACTGTTGTCCAGGCTGGAGTACAGTGGTGAGATTATGGCTCACTGCAACCTCCACCTCCCA